CAAATTAACTCACTTTTACAGGTGTGTTTAATTTTCCATGTCACAACTGAGCAGCATACAAAGAGAAGCCATTGTAACAGGAGATGGTCTTAGACAAAACTCTTTCTGGTTGTCTAGTGTGAACCTATATATGAAATTAGTTTATAGGTAACAAGGAGGTAAAGTATGATTAGTGCACTTTCAAAGGGTTACTAGTTCAGTCACTAAGGGGAGATGGGGCAAAATAGAAAAATCCCATAAATTTAATATGAAGTGTATAGGAAAACTTGATAAAGCATGTTCTGTAACATGATCCTGTGACGATCAAGACTGAAAGTGCAGTATCATCAAGTAGTGTTAAAAAATTTTGGTGCAAGAAATGCCAGCAAGCATAAATTCATATAAAAACGAATGCTCAGCAGATCTGGGCAGTAGACTGCGTAGCAGGATGCCTTTGAGAACCCTAAGAGCCCACTAATAGTCTTTATCATAACTTTTTTTGCCCATGGTAGGGATGTAATAGTACAGTCGATTAACCGATAAGCAAAAGCTTATCAGTTAATGCTACTGACTACATGCATTCCTCTTTTCCTCCCACCCCCACCAGCAGCCTGGCTCAGTTTTGGCTCCCGCCGGGTCTGTGAGCTCAGACCTCCTTCTGTATCAGAGGCAGCAGCACAGGGTGACAGGCAGCGGGTTCGGGAGTAGAGCTGGTGTTTAAACTGGCTCCCCTCATGGATCAGCTCCCGCCTGGTACCCCACGCTGCTGTTTCTGATACAGAGGAAGCAGCATGAAGTGGTAGGGGGCTCCGTGGGAGTGGGGCCGGTGCGCACTGGCTGCCAGCCCTGCCCCCGGGGACTATAGAATGTTGAGTAACTGATAAGAATTCATGAGGTTAATCGACTCAATTAACCGATATTTAACCATCCCTAGACCATGACTGCTGCTCCATACAGCATGTTCTCACTGTTCTCATTCCATGTTCGAAAGCAAAGTAGAAGTATGAGCCAAACATTTTTGATAGGTGTGACTGAAGCAGGGAATGAAGGGCACCGTATCTACCGTGTTCCCACCCACAATGCACGTTGACTGTTTCCTGCAAGAATGGTCTGTTGTAAATGCTTAAACATTTATTTGTAGCTGTCCTGTACCTCCTCACTGTAGTGTTTGGTCACATTTCACATTAAAACCAAATGTATAAACATCTACAAGGAGCAGCAATACTGTTTTTCTTCAGTTGCTTGGAAGTCCTCCATGTACTAAATTGGAAAAACTGGAAGATGAAAATGCAGGAAGGACTTGGCCAAAACCAGAGCCTTGTATTGTGCTGTGAAGAGATGCTGCCGGGAGTGAGGCCTAGGAACGTAGTGTTGTGTTTCACTGCATTGTTTTTGGTCATAAGGGCAGATGTGGGACCATAATTTACTAGCAAGAAAACTGAAAATCTTGCAATTCTCCTGCTTGCTACCATTGGGAAATTGTGGGAATTTGAGGGAGACAAACTCAGATTAGAACCCTCCAAAACTGTATATTCAGAATGCTGCCGGGAGTGAGGCCTAGGAACGTAGTGTTGTGTTTCACTGCATTGTTTTTGGTCATAAGGGCAGATGTGGGACCATAATTTACTAGCAAGAAAACTGAAAATCTTGCAATTCTCCTGCTTGCTACCATTGGGAAATTGTGGGAATTTGAGGGAGACAAACTCAGATTAGAACCCTCCAAAACTGTATATTCAGATCATAATGAAAAGGGAAAATTT